CAGACCACTACAGAACCTAACTAGTTCAACGTTATTTTTATGCCCGGTTTCCCTAAATGTTCATTATTCCAGTTCCGTTTCTTGTTACCTGACGTTATCAAGTCAGCCTCGACTCTGTCACTACCCGATCAGGCAATGATTAATCTAGTTCTTGTGATAGGTTACATATTGCACGTTGCACATTAAGGAATACTAATGTATATTATTGGTGCTTGATTTGATTTGGTAGCCATTCGATTCGAATGTTCCCATTTTATCAGTTGGTTGTTACGGCTGAGTCGCAGCAAGGCCGCTTTATATCTTCAAAAATCTCACCTTAAATTCTTATTTCTGATGAAAACATTCCAGAACAATTCTAAAGAACGTTTACCGTTTTTAGAAACATCTTTTTCAATGTTAGCGCCCACATTAAAAGTTCCGAAATCGAACATTTTTAACATGTCGCAGTGCTGGAATCCAGATTAAAAAAAAATAATACATGAATTTTGAATTAAAGCATTGCGAAAAAATTGTACTCCTCCTGTCATTTTCTGAATGTTAAAAAAAATTACGAGCAAACACTTTTAAACCTCAAAATAAAAAAAATTCTTGAAAACATTTTTTCAATGAATCAAACGAAGTAACATCTTTATTTGTCATTTCACGTTCACAGTGGAAAATTTCGTTGCCCAATTTTTAAACTTTTTCCAACCTGGATGAAGTTAACGGCCTTCAAGTTTGTTTCAATCGTTTATTCAATAAGCAAAGCCATTCAATTATGTAGTTGTTAGAAAATAATATGGATATATTTCGTACAACTTTCAATTTTTCGTAGAAATATTATTGTCATAAACAAACTTCTTCCAATGTGTGTTAAAAAAATCTTTACACATTTATATTCATTTAACTTCTACCTACCAATCGGAGCCTAGCTAGGCTCCGATTGATAGATTCTTCTGACATCGCACGCTCCCAGCCACTGACGATTGTGAAGCTGTGGGAGCACGACAGAAATTCAATTTTAGTTTTACGTTTGATACAGTTATGACGTTCAGTTACAGTTAAAATTATCGGTAACGTTATGGTATAAGTTACCGTTATAGTTATTCAGTTATCGTTATAGTTGTACAATTTTCGTGATATTAATAGAGTTATCGTTATAGTTATACAGTTATCGTAATAGTTATGGAGTTACCGCTATAGTTATATAGTTATCGTTATAGTTATGCAGTTATCGTAATATTTATACAGTTATCGTTATCGTTAAACAGTTATCGTTAAAGTTATACAGTTATCGCAATAGTTATAGTTATCGAAATAGTTATACAGTTATCGGAATAGTCATACAATTATCGTTATAGTTATACAGTTATCGTAATAGTTATACAATTGTCGTTACAGTTATACAGTTATGGTAATAGTTATATAGTTATGGTTTTATAGCTATCGCAAGATTTTGGCGAATGCAAGGCTTTTAAGATTACTATAGGACAGCAGCACGCACGCCTCGATCATGAGCCAGGGAACATGCAACTCATATGGCTCACCTCCACTCTCAAGGGCGCACGCTAGTCCCAGGGCAGGTCCCACGCTTGTAGTGGACTAGTAGATTCCAGTCGTCGTGTGGTGGGACAACAGGCGCCGGATGGCAGGACGACAGACATCGGATGGCAGGACGACAGGCGCCGGATGGCAGGACGACAGGCGCCGGATGGCAGGACGACAGACATCGGATGGCAGGACGACAGGCGCCGGATGGCAGGACGCAAGACATCGGAGGGCAGGGTGATAGACGTCGATGGCAGAACGACATACGTCGTGTGGCAGGACGGCAGACGTCGTGTGGCAGGAGGACAGACGTCGGATGACAGAACGACATACGTCGTGTGGTTATTGGCTCCTTGGAGCTTCGGTGTTTAACCGATTTTGTCACATGCCTTAGTGCTGTGAATTAACTTGCATGCTTGCATGCGCTTAACTCTCTTCAAGTACGAGCGAACACTCCTATTACTGTTTTCACTATTTTCTTTCTAATAGTTCTCTACATGTGAACTCTTGTCTAGGGCTTCTCAAAGGAAACAAATAGGTTTGTTACTTTGATTACTTGAAACTGCGTTATCATTATTCTGAATTTACTTAAATCATACTGAAATTCACTGCGTTAAAACCTTGAATCTATTAATTTTAAGCTTAAGTTGGCTTTCTGTCTTATTCAGATAAGAATCCACCCAACCGCCTCTACTTGGTCATCAACTCTGACGTTTCTGTTTTATTGAGCTGAAGTACTCCTTGCTTATTACGTTCTGTTGCCACCGGCAATATATGATGAGAATTGGAGAGAGAGACATTCACCCAAAACAGTGACTCATTCAACTGAAAATAAATATTGTGTTCTAGACTCCTAACGTTCTATTTGTACTCATGTGCGTACTTTTTCTACTACAGTGCCCGAGTTGCTCATCGCGCTTCTCGTTACCTCGATCCTGGCTTCGTTCTGCGAACCAATTCTTTTTACAGAACCACTTCAATAAAAGAATCAACGCTTTCCTTGCTCTTTAATTTCCAACTATACCAAAATTCAATACGGTATATCTCTCATTGCTGCAGCTTGAAAATCATAAGAGGAGATCGATTTCTAAGATGAAAATTGCAACTTTTCAGGAGAGCCGACAAACCGCCGACTGGCGGCGCGCGCGCTATGTAAAGTCATATAACGTAGCTTGGATACCAAAGGTAAGCGTTATTTCACTCTGAAGCCACTCAGCGATGCAGAGAACGACTGCATGCACACCTTACCGCATGACAGCTCGTGGCTGACTGAGCTGCGAGGGCAGCGAGGCCACAGACTGCACATTTATAGACCCCGGACGAAATTACTGATATCGAATTACCTGTGTTGTTCGCACTCCAATAGGATGTGGTGTCCGGTGTGGTAATTTTTGGGACAGCCCTATGTACCTCTGATTACGAAAGATTCGCCCTTCTTAGAACGGAGTTTTTAACATATGTATTTTTTCTGAAATTTTGAGTTTGGGAGTAGAATCCATCTGGTGTTCCGAGGATGAAGTATCAAAGTCCCGTCTCCCTTCGGCATCACTTCCCGCCTGCGGACTGAGTCTTAGGTGATGAATCCGTCCGTTTTCTCATTTGCAAGCTAAATTTTTCATAGTATTCCAGCACAATATCCTTTTCTGTTGCGTATTCCATCTCTGTTGCGTACGACATCCGCAGGTTGCTACACTCAAAATTTTACGTTTAATATAAGTTGAAAGTTATGTTCCCGCAGAATGACATACGGCGGTAGAGGGTTAAAATCACATAGAATACCCCCAACCATCAAACCATTATTCAGAAGACCACTTCCGAAGCCATTTTAACTCTCTACCTCCTGACATGAGTAACTGGAGCAATATTGTCACGCGCCTACTTCCCAAAAGGGATACGTTCTAGTGAGCGCAAAATGACTTGCACTGATGGTTGCCGCCACGTACAACTTTAAAATGTTCTCTGTTGCGTATAAACGTTCTCAGGTTGCTACACTCATTAGTTTACGTATAATTTAAGTTGATAGTTATGTTTCCGGAAAGTGACGTACGGCGGTAGAGGGTTAATTTGTCCGATTTCGGTATCGGAAAGAGCGACCTAAATATTCATTCCTATAAAATTTTTACATTAACCAAAAAAATTAGTTTTACCACGAAGAAGATTTAGTAGTTTGTTCATTATCTGAAAGGAAGATTGATATTTTTTTAAATAGCTATTTGTGGCGAATTATTTTGATGTGCGCAAAAAAAAAATAATTTTTAATGTATGCAACCTTTTTATGCTAATAACATCGAATTCAAAATTTACCATTAAACAAACGATATATGCATCAGCAATCTACCAAACAGTGTGCAATGTGGATAGAACTGAGAAATATGCGGATTAATCTGTCCGCGATGGTACAAAATGAGTAATATTTCAGTAATACTTTTTTGTGCACCGCCATTTCTTCTCGTTTCTTGTAAACGACATGAATAAAACATTTATCGCTGACGTCGTTGACGTCTAGAGCATGTACGAATTCATGAATGAACCTATACTTTGATGCGGCTGCATATCTTTAGACTAGATGTGTCGCACACTTTTTAGACCTGATAAAATTTCATGACCCTTTCATTTAAAAGTCTCTTCTAGATCGATCTGGCCGGAAAACCAGCTTTTGAACCTGGGAAGAATTAAGGGAGGTAGGAGCTCTAATGACGTAAATTTGAGACCGGTGACAAATCTGACATTCATTTGAATAAGTTTCGTCCATTTGATCTGGATTTATTTATGACAATTTTTGTCCGGTGCCAATCTAGCATCTTATTATATTCATTATAATTATCTTATATGATAATATCATATGTAATTGAGACATAATATTCACTAGACGTGATAGAGATTGACGGAAAATTACTAGACATGAGTCAGCTTCTGTAAGACATCACGTGATAGATCACGCAGTCATGACCTTATATAGTTGTAGGCGGAAACCGATTCCCAATATAAGGGCTGGAAACCTTAGTAATGCTCCCCGCAGTAGTTGATGAGCGCATCGCGATGTAACTCGCGTCGTTATAATTCTCCAACCTTATGGTCGACGCCGTAGCCTCTACCTGTATCGTATAACACTCGTGTATTACCGCCCCGTACCATGATATGTTATCGAAACAGATGTGTCTTCCTTATCCCTCACGCCTTAGTCACGTATCCTAATATATATATATATAATCATATATATAATATTAGTCACGTATCCCCATGGCATTTGCTGGTTAGTGATTTTTAATTAATGTAAACATAAACTCACCGTAATTTCTTAAATGAGAACCAACCGTCAATCGCCTCATCTCCATTAATTTTTTACACAAAGTATTGAAATCTAGTGGCATCACTAGGCTAATTTAAAATATTCTAAAGGCCCCGTAAATAATTTTTTGTTCATATACTAAAATTTATAGTTTGTTGCAAAAAGTATATAAAATATCCTTAGAATTCAATTTAATGTGGTCTCCAAATATGTTCAAAAAACACTCGATCATTCATATGTTCAAAAAACACTCAAAAAACACTCGATCCTAGTTTTATGGTCATTTCCTGAGCGTCTCCTGGAGGCTTCATGCAATGTCCTTAAAACCTAGTGATGCCCCTGTTTAAATTACGAATCAAAATTCGTACGTTTAATCCACATGTACGTGTTATTACTATTTAAAATGGGCAGATCTCTGTATGACACTCTTGTATGATCCAACACTTCCTGTTTGACGAATATAAGGTCGTGTGTATAGGGCCTGTTCAATTCCATGTAGTGGATATAGCCTTTGGACGTCATGAAATCAATCAGCGCAGGCTTTCCTTCTGGGATGATGTTGTACTCCACGGATAACGTCTGCGGTGAAGCAATTCATAATGAATGCATTAGATACCTATGATCGCTTGGAGGAATATTTATTCACACCAACGAATGTTTAAAAATAGTGCAGTGTGTAACGATTAATCCTCTCATGTCCAACTGTATTATAATAATCCACCTAGCAACTGTTGCGCAAATATTGCTACCAACTACGGAACATTCACCTTGATATCAACCTTGTCCCAAGGAATGGATTGCAGGACCTTGTACTCTGAACTCTCGACGTCGAGGCTGAAGTAGTCGACGGTTGTTTTGCCAAGCGCGAGCAGAAACGAGTACAACGGGAAACATATTGCGTTGTTCAGGTCCAATGACTCTCCGGTGTTGCTTGAATCTTGAACATTGAATATCTTTCCGATGTCTTTCCGGTTTACAAATACAACCTGAAACATGCAAGTGGCAATAAGAAAGATTGTACGTGTCTCGCTATTTTTTCCCGTAACGTTTCATGTTTAGCCTTATTCTCGTGAATAGACAGAAAACCGTGCCTGCTGGATAGTGGAAAAGGTCTATAAGCATGAACAGAATACGTTCAGTCAACATAACAATGAATTGTATAAGTACATGATAGCAGATTTGCAAGAAGAGGGGACCAGGGCAGTCTTCGAGCCATGGCAATATCGTCAGAGTTGAAATTCTGGTGCCAATTCTTTTAAACTCGCCTATGTCCCGTGATTTAAGTTGGCACTAATCTGTTCGGCACTAATCTGTTAACCTTCATCTGTGTTCGGTACCAGGAACTATTAATTTTTCAGCTTCTTTTCGTCGTCCGAATTATGTTAGTTCTTTTTATGATGCTTGTTCTACATAAGAGTACGTACAAATTTTTATCACTCTTCGGAGCCACATGCAATTAAGCTAAATATCGAAAAAATCAAATATTGGAGTAAGCAGTAAGAAAGCCAAAACTCACAACGAAATTAAATGACTTTGACTTTTCAGCTTGACTTTTAACCCATCGTCATACATTGATCTCACGTAACGCGTATGCTGGAAAAAGGAAGGAACATTTTTTAACAAAAAACAGGCTCAAATATGATGTCAGACTTTTTAAATTCATTTACCTTGGCTGCAGCTTCTATTTCTCCGATGCAGGCCTTAGCTGAGTGCGCTTTTCGATTCCTAGACAATAACTTTTTAAAGTTCTTCGGGTTCGGCTCAATCAGGATCCCGGTCCAATTTCGTTTAATTTCAAAAAACAGGGTGTTGCTCAAAACTTCGCCTGTGAAGCCCCCACTCTCGATGTAAAAGCCATTTCGCTGTAAAAAAGTATTCAAATTTTTATTCAGCCAGTTTGAATGAATGACAAACAAGAACCCTTAAAGCAGCTTCAAGTAAAACGCCATTCAAATATGAACAGTTGTTGATGTCCAATTGTTTCTTTAAAGTTTCATTAATCAGATGAGATATCAATTCAAAGAAACTGTTATTCAGGCCTTAGTTCCCAATCATCATGGCGGCAGTATATGTCGCATATTAGGAAGATGTATGCCACCTTTCGATTTAGTAGTTCGTCAACTACTTTTGCCTGGCCGTCAGAAGGGTCATGGTTGATCCCATAATGCAAATTGTAGGGTTCGGTAGAGGGAGGCACGATGACGTGTTGGCGGATGTAATCGATCAATCTCGGGTCATCCGCGTCGAGACCCACTAAATCTGTTGCAATAAAAGCTGTTACTGACATTGATTAGTCGTCCACCGTTATCGTTATTTTGATCACCGAGCATGCTGTGCATCAGTCAACAATGTCATTTGCATCAGAGAACATAGTCTTTAAATCTTTTACACAGTGATGTCAATTTAGAGAGTTCCAATGCATGGTTAGACTAATTTTTTAGTGTTATCATATTTCCTACGTGAACTTTCCTTTTATGTGGTAGCCTTGAACGGCCGTCATCTGAAATCAATTTCTTTTGCTGCATTTCTTTTGCTGCAAAATGATTTCTTTTGCTGCATCAAGACTGGGCAGCTGAAGAGTTATTGATCTTTCATCTGTTAATTGCATTAGATGACATTTTATTGTAACCCAATCTTCATCGAGAACTATTGTTTGGCTCAGATCATATCCAATAATTTCTTTCCTAGTTATTTCAGCTCAAGACATAATTATTTCGCGTGATAGCTAGCTTTATCGATATATACATCTCTTACTGACAACGACTTCTGTAAAATAATGATGATTAATTATATACATCAGACTGCGATTAAAGCTTAATTTCTTCGTTCTTTTTTTTGCAGCCAATATTCAGCCTGATTTTTAATTTAACTGTGAATTACTTACATATGTGCGTAATATTGACCAATGGGTTCAGTAAAATCTCGAATTATTAAAAAAACTGTGACAAGTTATGCGAAATTTCAATCAATTTTACGAGAGTTTAGAAGGAACAAATGGAAGCGAGCAATATTTCAATTATTTCTTTAGAAAAGAAACTGAAGTTTTTACGCAGTAAAAAATTAGAGCCAACATTCCATACGGCCGCATGCCAATAAATGCCACGTAGATGCCGCAACAGTGCAACGGTAGCGATTGAAATACCAGTTGAACGCCCTTATTAGGGCCACTCGTTGGCATTGCTTCGACGCCTCAGCTTTGCGTTGAAAGTTGAACACCGAATCAATGCTCTCAGTGACGGTTGGCAGCATATGGGCACAAAATCCGTGCTGTTTAGGCAATGGCTCACTTGTTAAATGTTCATTGCAATAATATCGGGTTTGTAAACATGTACTCGCACATTGCTCATCGATGCACGTACTCCTTCCTAGTCCAACACGTTACCAAACCAACCCATTATAGAAGTAAACAGACTCCCAATATTCTAGACCTGGTGTTCATAGTGATGAATCAATGTTAGATGAGCATTGCCACGAGGCTCCGTTGGGCAAAAGCCATCACCAATCATTGTTTTTCAGACTTAAGTGCTGTACAGAAAAGACGCCTCGGAAGCGTGAGCGTTTAAATTTTGCGGAAGGCGACTATGATAAACTCCGTGAAACAGTGAATGCAGTGAATATTTCGAACTGTATTAAGGATGAATGTGGCTGAGTCATGGTCATTTATCAAGGACACGGTTACGTCTGCAGTTGATGCGTGTCTACCTAAAATTAAGCTTGGTGGAGCTAAAAAAACTCGGTGGATGAACAGTACAGTTTTAGCTAAGCTGAAAACAAAGAAGGAAGCATACCAGCGTTATTTAAAGGCTCGTAGCAAAGCTGACTATAACCTATACGCAAGAGCTCGAAATCAAGCTAAAGAAAGCTGTCGCACCGCAGTTAAAACCCTCGAAAAAAGTATTGCTAAAAATGCAAAAAAGAGCCCGAAAGCCTTCTTTTGGTACCCTAGCTCGAAGTGCAACATGAAGGACGGTATTTCTGATTTGAAGGTAGATCAACGAAAGATATCCTCTGACGAAAGCAAAGCTAACGTACTTAATCATTTTGTCAGTAGTATATTCACTGATGAGGACTTGAACAGTATTCCAGCTATTGGAGAGCGCCCAGTCGGCCCTAAATTAACGAGTTTTGAAATACAAGAAGAAGAGGTTCTCAAGCGCCTTATCGCTGTAAATCCAAACAAGTCATGTGGACAGACGGCATCCACCCCAGATTACTCAAAGAGTTAGCAACTGTCCTAGCCGGCCCTCTGACGTCACTTTTTCGAAAAACTTTGAACGAAGGAATGTTGCCGGCTGACTGGAAAGAAGCCCAAGTGACACCATTGTTCAAACAAGGTGACAAAATCTGCCCGGGCAACTATCGCTCTGTCAGTTTGACAAGTGTCGTTTGCAAGGTAATGGAATATGTTGTGAGGGATTGATTGCTAGATCATTTAAAAGCTAATAATCTCCTATCACACTGTCAACATGGCTTTATTGCCGGGAGATCCTGCACCACTAACCTCTTGTCGACTCTGAACGAATGGACCCGCCTGCTGGACGAAAGGGAGCCAGTAGATGCAGCGTACCTCGATTTTGTTAAGGCATTTGAAAATGTCCCACATGACCGGCTGTTGCGTGAATTGAAGTCTTTGGGAATTGAGAGTAATGTACTCAAATGGATCAGAGATTTTCTAGTACGGAGGCGACGACGTATCAGTATTAATGGGTCCGTATCAGGCTGGGCTTCAGTGCGCAGCGGCATGCCACAAGGAAGCGTTCTCGGGCTTATTCTATTCGTTGCCGTTTACAAACGATCTGCCAGAAGCTGTGTCTAGCGTTTGCTCGATGCATGCTGACAACACAAAAATTTATAATACAGTGATGAATACGTCGCAAAAAGTACAGTTGCAAGGTGATCTGGGAAGGCTGGTTGACTGGGCTGATAAGTGGCAGCTGCGTATTAACGCTAACAAATGTAAAGTTATCCACCTTGGCAAAAATAATGAACAGCAAGATTACAGTATGAGAAGACACGGTTGCAACGGCAGAATGATGATGTCGGAGTCGACAATGGAAAAGGATTTAGGAGTTAATATCGACAATGAGTTGAAATTTTCTAAGCATACTGAAGGTCAAGTTAATAAAGCCAATAAACGGCTTGGACTGATCAGGCACTCTTTCGAGTTCCCAGATGCAGAAGCGATGAAGCAGTTGTTTGTTGCTGTCGTGCGCCCAAACCTAGAGTTTGGAAACGGCGTGTGGCCACAGAAATTTGAAAAGGACAAAAATTTAGTAGAGTGTTCAAAGACGCGCAACAAGGATAGTTCCGGGCTTGAAAGGAAAGTCCTATGAGGAAAGGTTAAAGATTATGGAGCTTCCAAGCCTCAGTTATCGACGTCTGCGTGGGGACCTCATTGAAGCATACAAGTATACTCATGGCTTATACAAGGTCCCAGAAGGATTACTAGAATTTGAAACAAGAACCAACACCAGGGGCAACCGCTATAAACTAAAAAACAGAGTTGAAACACATACATGCGACAAAATTTCTTCTCGCATCGAGTCACCGACACGTGGAACAGCCTCCTTAATAGCATCGTTGACACTCCGAGTATGAACGGAGTGTCAACGATTTGAAACAGACTAGACGAAGCTATGCAGGAGCATATGTTCAGTCTTAAAATGCCCAGAAAATTACGGACCAGGCAATAAGTCCAGCAGCTATCTCAATCAATCGTCAGTTATGGAAAGATCGGGTTACAAAGGCCGGATCCCTTGTGAATCAAGTCACGAAAAGTTCAAGAATCGGCAACAGGCCATGGGCCTATTTCATCAATGCCGACACTTCTATTCTTTCTATTCTATAACATGAATTTATAAGGAAATGAGTGCACGCATAAACACATCCCTACAGTAAGAAAAGTACATAAACAAAATAACATACACTTGAGCACTGTAATGCTGTCAGTGAGCAATCATAGATGGGTTTCATTTCTGCTCAGACTAAGAGATTGGAATTATATTAGTATATCCAATGCGTGTGCTTTCGTTTTCATCAATTTGTGGTCTAATTTGAATGATCCAGTGTCAGGTCATCAATGCTTCTTGAATATATTTAGGTCCAAACAAATTAAGAAGCATTTCTTGAAATACTAGCTTTAAAGTCCGACGAATAGTTGAGACCAATGAATTTGAATTATTTAATTCTTTAATTATATTGCAATCATGCGCTAATTTTCGCAATTCTGTACTTGAACACGTTGATTCCGATAGCTTGATCTTGTATTATTAATTCTTTCTACTATTATGAAACAGGGTTGCCAGACGCTCTTTTTTTCGGACAACTTCCAAGATTCAGTTTTTTCAATTGCGTTGGCCAGCTGAAATCTATGATAGGGGTTCTTCCTAATTAAATTTAAAAAACTGAAAAAAATAAATGGAATTTTTACAACGAAACCTACAAAAAATAAAATTGAGTTATAGGCCGTTTTTGCTTTTTTTTTATTCGCGGAATTGGCTGTTTTTTAGCCATCTGGCAACCCTGAACTATGTACCACTACGTCTTGGAGAAATTTAATACTTCTAGTAGTACGCATATGTACCACTTCGAAGTCAACGTGTTAAAAAAATTTTGAACGAATGAATCGAAACAACATTAATTTATTTTAAACAACATATAACGTCTAATTCGCAGCACCTTCGCTCGGTCGATGTGCATGCATGCCCATCAACTGGCCTTCTTGCGATGCCTACACACTGCACGCGTATATAGGCATGCGTCGTGGGTCAACGGGGCCCTAAAATGCCTGCTATTTGACAGTGACATAGTTAGGGCCGGGCTACATATGCCGACTTCAGGCCGAGCGACGATGAAACTCAGCAGTCGTTTGAAGCGCAATGGCGGGAGTGAACGGCAGTATTTCCCGCAACCAATTCCTTTTGTAAGTCCCATGTGAAATGTTCCAAGCTTGTGCTCGTCTAAAAAGCATTTTCTTTGCCTGGAAGCGCATTGGCCACATTTGAACGTTTTAGCCTTGCTGTGATGCAGCTATTAGAGCCGTTCGTAGAACTTTAATTTGCCAACTCTTGGTCTGCAAAAACTCTTGAGCAGCTACGAGATTTTGAACTAACCTGAAAAAAGTCCAGATAATTTTTATCCCGGAAGAAAATAACATTGAAGAAATTTATTTGGAAATGCTACATTACACTTCGTGCAGTTAGTCTGTATGAGTTAGTCTGTATTTTCAGTTCCACATCGATTCATTGGGCGGAAATGTGAATAAAGAGTGATACGTTTTAACCTCATATAGGAACCTCCTACACGTGAGAAATTGACGTGATACCTAGATAATTTAAGTTAATGCGGAATTTTATGTTAAGCTTCAAAGTTTCATTATAACCGCAGAAAATCCAATTCCGATATCATTTTTTTCCATTGCAGGAAGTGTTTGTATATCTCTCAATTTTCATCAAAATATTTCGACTTGGAGATCAGTAGTAAGTGCTTACCTTCATAAGCGGGCGGCACTATCTTGGAGCTCATCATTTTGACGAATTTCTCGGGCTTGTAAAAGTTAATATGTGATAACAACATGATACATGATAAAAACAGGATGCCCTTCACTGCATAAGATCTTTTGAATACATTCGATAGGCTCACAGTCATGATTGTGGTGCTGCTTCTTAGTCAAATAAATTTATCTCTCCAGCTCCATATATGATAATCCAAATCCAATTTACTTTGGTTTTTACAAGCTTCTCTATGTGAGCAAGATAATGTGTTAATGTCTTGGGTTCGCAGAGAAGAGTGTGGACGAGAATATCAAAGCCAATGCAGCCGCCTTCCTTCTCGACGTTGCAGTAAGAGGAAAGCAATCATGCATACGAGGAAAAATCTTCTGCATGAATGTCTTTTAGGGCAGGAAAATACTTCAAAAACGTTTGGCTATGTGGCAAGATTCAATTCGTCTCTTCTGACCTGATATCATGATCTATTTATATTTGACTTCCGAACGAAAGTTATTATCAAAATGAAACCGAATGAGCTGACATAGTAAAGTTTCAACGAAAGAATCTATTGTGAATGAAAATAGTTCCTGGAGACGATTAGAAATATTTTCAGGAAAGTTTGATTTTTAGAAAACCTGTTTAAAATTGGAAATGCGGTGCCAAAATATTAAACCGTGAAATATTATTGACGTGGAATTAGGATTTGTTAAAAACGTCCCTATTTCTGATTCGACGAAACTCATGCGTCGATTTATTTGTTTGCATCTCAAAAATTAGAATATAAATACGCCACAGCTATAAGCTATAAATCTGCGGTGCTACTCATCCACACGGCAACATTTCTTCTCGCTTCGAGTCACCGACATGTGGAACAGCCTCACTGCTAGTATGGTTGACACTTCGAGTACGAAGGCGTTCATGAAAATGCAAGACGAAGCTATATATGCTGCCGTATATGTTCAGACATGAAATGCCTTGGTTCAGACCTGGTAAAAGGTCAGTTGCTATTTCGAACCAACGACAGTCTTGAATGAATCTGGTCAAAAGGCAAGTTCTTAGATCTCCTGTGAACAAGTCAAGAAAATTACAATAATCGGGGTAGGCAAAACGGCCTATTCATCAGCGCGAGTTAGCTTTTCTCATCACCTTCTCTTAGCCAGACTAAATTATATTTTTCGAAATTTTCGTGTAAGTTTCAGGTGAAAATTTTCCCTAAAGATAAAAGAAAGCATTTAGTCTGTTTAATAAGTATGCATCAAAATTCAGAACCATGGGATAATATCATGAAATTAAATCTAAATAGAGAACATACAGCTATATGGCATTATTCCACTTCTAAAATAAATCAATTTCGTGGACCAACACAATAAAACCACACACTTAAAAATATAACTTAGTTCTCACTGCAGTGAGTGACAGAGAGCGCATTTTCTCGTCGACGAAAATGCGAAGTCACGGACGGACAGACGGACGGACAGACATGGCGAGCACAATAGTGCATTTTTTTCATAAATGAAAAAATGCGCTAAAAATGGAACCGATTAGTCAAACTTCGAACAGTCCCGATATCTCAGATTCACAACAACTTTTAATCGTTTCTATGTTTTTCACAAAGTGACAAAAATGCCCTATCAACTCTACACACGGTATTTCTGAGGCCGGATTATCAAAACATCGCTACAAATTACTTTTGTACTACACAAAAAAAATTTACGTAGCAGCCTGAGTCGTCCGATTTTTGGCATTGTCGTAGCTTATATGTACGCAATACTTATCCAAAATGGCTGGCCTATTGTCCTCTTAATTTTAAGCCAATTTTCTATAACAGATGTGTCGATGGCACATTTTTACTTCTCAAAAAGCCCTCATGTGGGCTTTTTCTTTTGATTATCTCAACCTTCAACAACAGTCTATCAAATTGTCCATGGAGCTTAAATCCAAAAAGAATTTATCTTTTCTCGATTGCAATGTCACAAAATCTATTGGCTGTTTTCGGACCTCTGTATTCGGAAAGTCAACGTTAACCGGTTTAAGCACCATCTTTTTTTAGTTTTTGCTCATTTCGTCTCAAATTAAATGGGATTAAAAATTAATGAACCGCGGCTTCTGTATTTGCTCTACTTTCCAGGCTATGCACACTGAACTTGAATTTTTGCGCAGCATCTTTTTACTAAATGAGTTCCCGCCTCAGTTGGTCTATTATACTAAAATTAAGAAAATTAGGTTTAGGTGATATATTGAAGTTAGTTCCCGATTATGGCGATAGGAAATTGATTCGTTGTTTTTTTACTTACTCTGGCGATGCATCTGCGACTGTGGCTAAAGAATTAATAGTTTTATTAACTGAATACGTTTCGAAATTTAATCTACACTTAGTCTTGGTGAATAATTTTAAAATCAGCTCGTTATTCAGGTATAAAAATGCTCTTCCTCTTTGTATGCGTTCGTCCCAAGTTTATATGCATAGTTTAACGCAGTGCACATCAGCGTACGTCGGTATGACTTCTCGCAATTTTGATACTGGAATGGCGGAGTATTGAGGCAGAAGTTTAAAACGGGAAACCTGCTTGAGCATTCACATCACTCAACTGTGCGCGGCCATGCCGAGTAGTGCAATGTTCCGGCGTCCTGTAGTGATTTTAGAGTTTCAGCTTCCACAACCGGTGTTTCTGATCGACGAATTTTAGAATCCCTGTTTATTTTCAAACAGAAACCTAGCTGAAATGCCGCCATCAGTTCCTATCCTATTGAAATTATGAATAAATAGGCCTTTCTCCTCATGTTTATTTGTTTTTTTTTTTATTTGTCAATTTTTGTTTTATTATCTTCAATGAGAATTGTCATTTACTAATTTTTTCTGCTTGTCTTTTAGGATTTTGAAGTGACGAAGGATGTGGAATGCGGAACGCTTTATCGCATATAAAATGATTAATGTTGTGACTGTTTTCTATGCTTTAAATTCCTGTTAACTATAATGGTACTCGTATTTTCAAAACCATGTTGCTGAACAGCCAGTCAGTGGCTCGCTTTATACTTTTTTTACATTCGGAGTCCGATGCGCTCGAGCTTCATGTTTTGTGTGTCTTAAAAATTTGTAGCTGTTATGAGGGATTCTAGACGCATATGCAGGGGCTAGAAAAAAATGAATGAAACACCCGAGAAATCCACAAAATATATTTTAGGATGGTGTAGGTCCACCTTTCGCGGCAATTACAGCCTCAATTCTTCGAGGTATTGATTCTGGCAAATTGTGAATTATTTCTAAAGGAATTCAAAGTCGTTCTTCGGTTAAAATTCCCACCCGCTCTTTTACAGACGAAGGCGGCGGGAATCGACTTCTGACTTGCATCTCTAAAAGTCATTTGCATCACTTACTTGGCTGTCTCCAAATGTAAACTCGGCCTTAGGTTGGAAATAAGGCAAACGTTACTTCTTCAGAGAAAATCTCATTTTTCCACTGCTCGAGAGACCAATTTTATAGGTTTTTACAGCACCATAAACGCTTCGAATCATTTGTGTATGAAACCAGATTTTTTATTGCAGCTATTCCTTAGAATCCAGGTCTTTGCTGCTCTCGGCGGGCAGTCTTTACGGAAACTAGTTTCAGTATGTGTCCAATGAGGTCTGCAGTTATTTTAACAGCCATGGTCTTTCAATTGCCCCTCACTATTCGATTTAGGTACCGACGGTCTCTCTCAGACACCTTTGACTTTCAGCCAGACCTGTGCTTTGCAGAGGATGTTTTTCCTTCTCCTTAAAAAACAGTCATTACTTTTGAGATAGTACATCTAGGAACTTCAAGCATTTGAAAGTTTCTGTCACACTAGCACCTGCAATACGGGCACCAACAAATTGGCCTTTTTGGAAGTCAGAGAGGCTTACTATTAATAGCTCATAGGTTAGGTTATATGCCGTTTAGAGTTACGTCTACTTAGCAGTACTTACGCACTGCGTAATTGGTTACTTGTACTTAGCACTGTTTTGATATTCCGTCCTATTAAATATCCAGAATCTATTCGAGCCTGTAATTACGGTACCTACAGTGTCGGGATGATGGTTTTACCTGTATCTGAAATTAAATTTTTATATATAATCTAAATCATTTTAAGAAAAGGATATAGAATTGAATTCATTGGCCTTGAGAAGAATAACCTATACAGACCAACAACAAAACTCGGTTTTAGATGAACTGTTCGGAATCATCTTTCAGGTACTGTAGGCACTGCACTATTATTGTCTTCACATACGACGACTATAATAAGCTCATCATTTGGAAAAGGATCTCAAATGAATTCATAGAATGTCTGCATACTTATACAACTAACCACATAAATCAAGGCCCATCTTAATTTATATTTACATGAAAATAACCCTTTTCTACTCGTACATTACAGGCATCTGCAGGTGCTGGATTCAACTATTCCGACTCAAATAAGTAATCCGTGTACAAGGTTGCATGGCGGAGTTATCAGCCAAACCGTCAACGCCTTTAATTTTCCAGCTCATGAAATCGTCCAGCCTCTTATTCCGATTGAAAATAGAAATTGTTCGAAACGACTATTATGAAAGCGGCCTAAATTAATATTCTATCTCTTAATTTCTCAATCGCGAGATGGATACTTCGTCGAGTGTGGAGCGCTTGATGGGGAAACACGCTCCAACTCGCTCGTCTTCGAGAAGACCCTGGGCTGGCAAGGCCTCCTGATCGAAGGCGACCCCAAAAACTACGAATTGGTGCGCAAGAAGAACAGGAAGGCGTGGACAGTGGGCGCTTGTCTCAGCACGAAGCCGTATCCTCATTCCGTGAGTCCTCTAAAAGACACGTTTATTTCTTGCCTGCAAGCTCCGAATTCATTTGATTATACTCCATTCATTAAGATCAGTGATGAAACGCTAGGTAATCTTGGTTTGTTCCTACAGCTAATTTCCTATGAGCAGTTAAATTGAATCGCTGATACCTTTGATATTGCTAGAGTGCTGCTAAATTCCACTGATTCGATCAAAATGCACTCAGCACACTTTATTCCTGCAGGTAATGTTTGAACAGCAATTCAACCTAGGGAAGATAAGCAGCAATGACGTGGATTTCACCTTAAACATGACAGGCGTCATCGCAGTTCAGTGTCTGCCCCTCTACTCTCTGCTGTTGGCACTCAACGTGACGACCGTGCACTACTTCAGCTTGGATGTCGAGGGCTTTGAGCTGGAGGTCCTCAAAACCATTCCATGGGACAAAATTGACATACAGGAAAATCTTAAATACGAAACATCTTCTATTTCAAGTACAGCAATCTTTCGCTTCACTCCTAAACCTATTAACAATTACAATATTCTATAAATTTATTGGCCTGCAGTATTATCTCATACCGTACATTTGGTGTGTTTATTTGATGTTCATGAATTATGCTGACAATTTTCTGAACTCTTACAGACACTTTCTGTGGAGTACATTCATGGCACCTGGTCCAAACTTGAACTGAAGCACTACATGAAACAACGAAATTATTGGTCTTACAATGAAGTCGCTTTACCTGTAGGATGGGGTAACGATTTCATCTTCGTGAAGAACACCTACAAGAAAAAATAGACCACCTGAAGAGCTCTCTTCGGTTAGAGTAGTCTTAGCATCAGCTACACCCTAAATGGCAGGCTGCCGGACTTAGAAACTAGCTTTATAAATGATACCAAAAAGAGTAGTTTCATTTAAATATTATTAATTGTATTTTTTAATTTTTAAATGCTTAAAAATATTTTATTCATATTATCCAATAATTATCTCAGTATATTTAAGAATATTATTCCCTTACTTTGTAGCGTCGAGTGTGAGCTCCGACGGATTCAACGAGCCACCACAACCTCCTGAAATCTCAAACAAGTAAACATTAATTTCCGCTAATTAGACTGAGGAAATAAATGGGTTTATCCAAGACTTGTGATTTGAAGTTTAATTTTTCAATTTCCAGCATGTTGAGAATTTAACTGAGGATCAAAATATTTCCGATTGCTGAATGGTTTAAAATAACAAAATAGGGGAAAATGCGCGAGTTTATTAAAATTTGAATGCACTTTTCGTGAAATTTTTTTCGTTGATTGTTTTGCGCGCTCGAATTGATGTTGAAATGTGAGCCCCGGAAAGGAAGTGAGCCGTGCCTCGACATCGTCATTCCTGGCGGACATCAGGTTGCTAGAACAATTACAGATAGGACAGACTATGAGAGTTGGCAAGATGATCTGTCTGCGGTATATAACTCGGCCCAGGTGAAAAATATGTAATTCAAGGGAATCAAGTTTGAAATTCTGAGAAACAGAGGTAACGGAAGTGTTTAAATGCAACTCCGATGCACGGCACTGGACTTGATCTAATATAGGCAATGTCGGAGTGTTGATATAAGTACCCAGGTCAAGTTTGGCGCTCACATTGCGGCAATAACTGCAAGAGACAGGCGGCTGATGTGGGGGGGGGGGTCTTGCAGAAGTTTAGAACAAAAGAAGCAGAACACATAATCACATTCGTAGTTGACTTTTGGATTCTTTTTCATGAATAAAGCTGCCAGCTTTGAATCCCGTTCACAACAGGCGCAGTGCGGTGATTGGAAGCGGTCCAGTAAACCTTCACTTCTATGATCAGCGGGAGGAGGGAGCTGAACAACTGAGGCAGGCCGGAGCGCCTGGGTTCAGACTGTTCCCCAACTTCGAATGCTAGACCTTCAGGATTTTGACATACCAAAATTAGAGATGGGGAAACTGTGGAAGATACCCTCATTAATTTTCATATCTGCGGGAAGGATCCTTTTCCGTGGTGTCACCGAGGTTGTTTAATGTTTTGCCAATGGAGCTAAAAGGAGGGGAATTCACCCCCTGAGACTTCCAAGAGACTGCTGGAGACGTTTCTGGGCACAATCTCTGATCACTGCCAGTCCCCCACTACCAGCGGCAAAAAGAAAGAAACAGTATAGTGTATCAGCCTGCTAACTGAGGGCAGATGCGCGTTAATTATAGCCTGGCCCCCTGAACCTTGGCAACGAAGATGACTTGCCTGGCGAGGCGGAGGACATCGAAATACTGGGGCGGCGCTTCAGCTGGGCCGTGGACTGGTGCGAGCGAGTTGCATGCTAGAGATACTAATGAAGAGTTGAAAGGACCTCATCGTAAACTCACGTGCAGTGGTATTTCCGATTCTTCAGTAGTTCGTGGGATTGAAGCGATATGCTCAGACTTCGGCATGTCGCATCAAAATCATTCAGGTGAGAACTCGTAAGAATCTTTTTGAGATTGAACACGAGAGTTGTCATGTCAGTAATCATTATCTCAAGAGATCTGGGTCAAGGATAAGTTCCACTTGTTAGCCTTTGTATATGTGGTCTACGAAGGCGGCACAATAACGCCAGAAAAAGTCTAAGTGACGACCACCTCTAACCAATTATTCGTGTGCACAGTTTGAGACGATACACAGTAAAAAATCATAATAATACGGCTCTCTTCATTTGCATGTTTTTTTCATTTTTTAAAATTCCTCAAGAGCTCTAGGAAAGCTTTAGACACGCAGAACGTTAAAGCTATCATAAAAACTTTCGCCGTACGTCAATGCATCCTGAAAAGTAGTTCGATCGGAAAGAAGTCGATTCGTGGGCCTAAAGTGATGTACAATCCAATTCAGGATTTCATTTCCAATCTCAATTGCGGTAGTGAAAATTCTGTTCCATTTAAGAACACCGCAATTTAGGAGCCTTATATGACGCTACATCGTCAAAAAATTGTTATCATTTACTATTTGCAGGCAGGCGTTATAGAACCATGAAGTTTGGCGTGCATTTTGTCTACTACCTCATGCATCTACCACTTACCGAAACTCACAAAAAAATCTTTTTCACGGTCATTAATTTTGGTGGCTTTTACAAAATTTTCCTAGCACATGTATACGAAAAGGCGAATCACGATAAGAAAATGTTAAGCGAAAGCAAAATCGTATAGATGAATAACACACAGGCGCTAGCGGACTCCACCTCACGAGTAAAATATTTTTGGCCCTAGTTTAATTCCGCTGCTTCAGAAGTTACCCGTTTTAATTATTACTCAACGATAATTGAGCCTTGCATGCTTCACGATTGTTTTCATCGAAGCCAATTATAAGCGTACATATGTTGACTGAAATAGAGGCCAATGTTTATATGAGGGCAAAATGGGTTTGTTCATTTACTCGAGCACTGCGACATTCGCGATCAACGACCTCAATTCTGTATCTCGGATTATGAGACTTTGAGCTGTGATATTTCGAAAGAGTTTTACTGATTTTTATTTTGGTGCTTGTTTTACTCAAGTTATTAGGAGAATACGTAAACGTGGTTCTTGAGCGGAAAATATTTAAATTTTTTCATTTCCTTATTGGATAAAACTTCTACGTCTCAAATAATTTTCCTCAGTATTTTCCTGGTTAGAAAGACGTCCGGGAAGGAATAACGAAAGATTCTAATGTCTTCGGTCTTCCTCCACCTCCTGCATCCCGGCAAACTCCACTTCACTTCCTGGATGGTTCCTGCGGCTGAATCATCGTAACGTGTTGAGAGAGTGAAATGGGAATGATAGTATTATTAATTAAAGCCAAAATTTTAGGTAATGTGGTTTGCTCAGGTATGAAAGAACTTTTTTTTTTATTTTTGATAAATCAACTAGAAGAAATGATAAATTCTAAATGTGATGGAACATGCAATAATGAGGTGTAGATCTCCACGAGAATATCATATATAGTATATGTGATTTCGTTCGTTATTAACACGTTTTCTAAAAAAGGCAATGACATTAAGACAGTTAGTGAATTGCTATATTTACAGAAATAACGAGATGAGAATGTTATCTTCTAGGTAAAAAATTTATAATATCATTATTCCGACAAAATCGCAAGTTGAGCAAGAATTTAGATGCAAAGAAGCATCTGCGTTCAAATTCTTATTAACATCAAAAAGACAATACCAGAGAGTTCATTTAATAGCTTTGTATTATCAAACACATGACAGGTGTTGTTACAAGGGTAGATGTTAGATGTCACAGATAAAACAACAAATAATTAAAGCCTAAACCCGAGAGAGCGTGAACGATTTGAATGAATTAGGTCCCACCCCAATCCAAATATTCACCGAGTTACTCATTTGCAAACCTATGTAAAGTATTTATTCTATTTTAGACCACATATAGCGGAAAATTTAAATGAATATTCACATTATACCCTGTTGATTGAATAGATGCACGATGAACATCGAAAAAATGCTGGAGATGAAAACGCAATGTAAGTACATTCCACTTAATTTATGAAGTAAATTAAGGATATTCAAGCTTTTTTTAGCTATGCTTTTGAATTACGAAAATATTTAAAGTCATTTCTCTCACAAAAATATATCAAATTTGTATAAATATTGCTTATGTTCGAAAATATTCAATATAATATTCATATGTAGGGATCACCGATATTCGTTATTTATTTTCTTGTTCGTTTTTCCTCAAATAGTTAGAAGTCAGACAACCATCCACTCTTCTTATAGATTGATTTTTTCTTTCTTATCTAGTTCAGTTACTAGTCATTTCACTTCAGCCTTGTCCGCCAACGTTTGGGGATGGCCTTAAATAGCTCATGCTATATTCATATTATTAGTAATATTTTCTTGCATAATATTCTTCATTTAATGGTGTAAACATGTTGTGCAATTACCTACCCTTATAAGAGTTCGTTTATTCAACCGGTGCAGACTTTACCTTACTCACAAATACACTGTTCGGAACATCCGGTGTTTAATTACTCGGTTTAATAATTAAATTAAGTAAACCGAGAAATTTAATTACTCAGTTTAATAGGTTTCCCTGCCCGCACTTCCCTTAGCTTATAGCGGTACCGATGTACTCCGCTATACATTTATTTCATTCAAAGTTAACAGCTTTTGTATGCAGTACGAAATTTTAACTCGTTAAAAACTGCCCTGAGCAGTTGAATGGGCTAAAACAAAGGCTGTCGGTCCTTCACGAACTTGACTAGCGTACCTTGATACCAACTTTTCATTTCGCTAACTCAGTTCTTCATATAGTTCCACGCTACAACGAGATAAATTTCTGAAATTTTAAAATTAAAGTTCATATATGTATATTTGAGGCTTGCAAATCACTATTTCAGCGAACTGAAATGTGGCACATGTCTGAAAATACAATGCGTGACGTTTGCCCCGAATGAATGAAAATTAAATTTTCATTAATTATGAAAATTAATCATAAATAATTTTCATTAATTCATTTTTCGTGTAGGTACGGTCACTTTTATGTCACTGAATCTCTATAACAATATTTGAGAAAAACGTTTAAAATATTACCGTGACGAGTAATCTTGGTAAGAGCTTCATTAACTCGGGTGTGAAACGCAGGAGGCGGGGAATTGTGAGAGTACGAGCCACACCGATAAGATTTGGAGCAAATAATCGCGATTAATAGGGTTACGAGCCTCAAAAAATGCATTTAATAGTGAGTGATGTGGGTATACGGGAAAATGCTAAAGATTATGTAACTCTGTTCGAGGATAAGAGCCTAAATAAGGCTCTTATCCTCTTATTTATAAGGAACAAACATTATGCAAAATAATTATGCCTCACCTGCGCCGTTATTAGTACGCTGGATAACCTCTGACCCTACGCCTGGGTATAACAAGTCCTCTTTGATTTGGTACGCGTTTGAGGGATTTGAGCGCAATTAACACTGCGTCATGCAAGTATATAATAACGAAAGAGTTAAAAGCCATCGATAGTGAAACGAGCCATACCGAGTAGTGGAAAAGAGTGAACTGACTCTTGCCAACGAGCACTCGTATGTCAACTCAAGATTTTCATACCAAGAGTAATGCATCTGTTTGCATTAGGTATCATAGAACTCCTGAACTTATAAGTTTCTAACTGTCGTTCTCATATCGCAATAATTATTACTAAGCTTATTTTCGCTGGGTTGAACAGAATTAAGAATCTATATTATATTGGGAGGGTCCAAACTGAAACTGATGTAGCAAATTTCGAAACGTAAATCCAGTAATTTCATCGCGATGAACATTTTGGTTCCTTGTATTGGCACGAAACGCACTAATACGTCAAAATTTGTAACTACATTTTGACAAACAAATTATAATATAACAATATAGAGGCTATCATATGGCCCAATTATAATACAGATTTCAGTAATAAAGCTACGGAAAAATATATTAATCCAGCCTCAAATGCTTCTCCGCTCTGAGTAACAGTTGATTTTCCCCGAAATTAATAACCCTCGGTAGGGTAATACGATCTTCACTTCAATTATATTTCCTATGATCCTCAAACTTAAATCCTATTGTATGATTGAAACTTTTGTCTACGAATGATTTCGTTCGTAGTTATAAACTCGAAGGCAAAAATAAGGAAAATAGAAGTTCAATGTACGAAATTTCCTTCAGCCTTATTTGTTTTGATGTAAAGAATATCAATTAATTCGCTGGCGCATAACTTCTAGATCTTCGCTTACACATGCAAAAGCCGCTCACACACAAAAATTTGTTTACTGGAATTGGTGTTCTGTCGCTTGAGTTATGACGCACCCTTGTTTTAATATTAGAATAATGTATCAATGCATGTTTATTTTTGGATAAATAATTGTGCAATTCTTCTATTTGACAGGGCTTGTGCAACTGCGCATGCGACAGATGAAATTTGGATTATGGATAACAATATTCACTGCTTCATTGCTGGTTTTCTGCTATCAAAGCAGCATCAGACTTTCAGGTAAATGTATCTTACATAAATAACTCATAATTCTTAAAAAAATTTTATTTCGTTTCAGGTTCTATAGAAATTCACTTAGATAAGTGTTTATAATGGACTATATATAGTTATATTTTAGATGAATATAACAGGCTTATCACTTTTTACATTATTCAATACGTCTGAAAAATATACAAATCTGTTGGGAAGGTTCAGAATTTACATTTTTAATTTGCTTATTTCAATTGAATTAATACATTATCTATTATTTTATCAACGTTCATTCCAGTCTCGGGGTTATCTGATATTCGTTGAACGGCTTGCATTTATTTGTCGCATGTGAATGAAAATCATTACATTCACTTGGAAGTATTACTCGGATTGGACAGAAGAAAATTTATAATAAAAAAAATTATAGGTGCGACAAGCACAAATTTCCATGGGAACATCCTTGCAAGTCAACTGACGAAAATCAGAAAATGTATAGTATGTCGCTGCTTTTTGTACAACTATAGTCTTCCACTATAATCTTGTTCCTATTCATGAGACAAGAAGCACGAATACAGATACACCTAGTACACACAGCAACTCTAGTAGTATAGAAAGAGGACATATTAACACAGTTTGCATAAAAGACTGATGAAGTCATCGAACTGAGCAATTTATTAACTGATGATCGGACTAGCGCTTAAATATTCTTGTAGTTTCTAGAGTTCCGGTGTAGAGGAAGTTTGTTAGGCATGGCAACAGCGGCCAATCTTCATTGGTCCGCAGCGCCACGTCAGCAGTTACGTACCCAATAAGTACACGTAGATAGCCTTAGTCATTAGCTCACTTCTTGTTTCCACTCTCGTGTAAGTTGTAGTTATGATTAGCTCTACCGTCAATCTTAATTCACTTAGGCCCGATTCACTTAGGCTCGTGATATTATTATCCTTGTCTTATCAAACTAGGTTCCCTTGTCTGTTCAAAATATGCTAACCTTGGCTCCATGTCACATGCTTGCCTTTTGAATGCAAATAACCATAAACCGGTGATTGTTGACCCCCGTGTTCCTTGCTACAGATAGTCCTCCTGACTGGCCACCAAGGGGCTACTCATTCACGGAGTAACACGTACTGGCTCCCCATCCAGATACATATCCCTATCCATATCCACAAACTCGCCATCATCCTCTTACCCTGGCGCTTTAAGCTTAGAACTCAGCCGCAACTTGCATCCTGGCGGAACCTTGCATCCTGGTGGAACCTTGCATCCTGGTGGAACCTTGCATCCTTGTGGAGCATTGCATCCTGGTGGAAGTGATACCCCGATCTTACGCTGTTTAAGGGCACCAGTATCCTGGCCTTACTTTTTCTGCTTGATTTCTATTTTTTATTAAATGTTAAGTAAGTTACGCGCGTTTCGATTTGCATCCCGTGGAAAGGCCTGGTTGCGGTAGATTCCTTGGCTGAGCTAACCCTGGACCGTAATTGGAATTTTCCAGCTACCCAGAACTACGGTTGTAGTAGTGACCCAGAATTCCTTTACATCCAGAAAGTCTAGGGTTTTGAAAATTTTCTGCATTAATGTGACTGGTGTTAATATATTTGAAAAGAAACTAATTGCACAGCCATATCAGACAAAAATCAGCCATATCAGACAAAAGTAACTCGGGAAATGCCAGAATTAGATAATCTTCACAAAAAAGTAACTCAAGAAATTATTGAAGTCGATACTGATTTGGAAAATTTCAATAACCTTCTCAAAATTTTGATAGCTGTCAGCCGCTGGCTCAAGGATGTCTCGAGCTCGCTTAGTGGAGTAAATTGACGGCTCGATGTCCGCTTTAGGTTCTGGTTGTACGAGGGAAATAAGCACCTGATTCGGATCCGGTCTATTCCTTGACAGCCGTGGGGCGATTGCAGGGCACGCAGGTACTTGGTTCCTGATACGTTCGGGCCAGACACGGCCGACTCTGAATGCGTTAAAAAGTGCCCCCACCCTTCCCCCCTTTACGGGGGGGGGAAGGAAAAATGAATAATTTGATATTCCTCGACGAAAAAGTATCGTTACTAGAGGGGAATGAGTTTGAATTAAAGGCTGTTATTGATTGTTTAGAGGGGTGATGGAGTTGTACGAAATATAACCAGAAATACGAAGGAACTTGCAGAATTATTAGGAATTCAAGATGAATTGTTTGAACGAATCAGAAATATTGAAAATACAATGAAGAGTGAAGCTGAACGTTGATTTTTAGATTTAGGAAAGATTTTAAATAACTTTTTAAATTCATCTTGCTAATTTATTTTTATCTTGGTTTCAAATTTCACTACCCAGATTATTTTTATGAACATTTCATTGTTCGTAGTCTGTGACTAAACTCCTTTTCAAACTCTTGTTAATGGAAAAGGGTAATAAAACACGGAATTAGTATCGTAATTTTCTGATCCAGCTCAAAGAGTTTGAAGAGGCTATGCTGATCATAATTAGATCACTTAAAACAGTTTGGAGTTTTGATTCGTTTCTGTCACATATTTAATCGTTGTTGTATTTTGCTCAAAATAAATAGTGTCAATCGTTTGCTTGAATCGCAAATTCACTAAAAACTTAAAAGCAACGAAAACTCCACAAAAATTCATAGTATCTTTAAAGAAAACGTTTCGCAGTCCAGCTCCTTCGTCAGTTCGAAAATTCTAGAACACAGATAAATCAGTGATTAGTACAGTCAAGATTACAAAAAAATAACCTAAGCTGTAAAACCTACCTATTTACAATTTCAAGCGGATATGAGCTAAAAGCTAAATTCAAACTAGGGCTCTGTTTAAAAACATACAATGATTCTAAATTGCGCAAATCAGAAAGCTAAAACTTTGAAGTCACTGTCGGAAACTGGAACATCGCACTGCTCGGCGTGAGCCCGCACAGCCAAACGAGGTGGGCGCGACAGTAAGTTACCATTTCTACAACTCCTGCCCCTATGTTCTGCGACCCTAGAATAAAGATTGCGAGACGTCATCCCGACGTACGCAGATGCACATCGTGCACAACTATATTTATAAACTAGGGACGCTCGCATATGCATAGGGAGAGTATCTTTGTACCTAAAATAATATACGTTTAAAAATTACTTTTTAAAGTCAACACTTCCAAAGAATCCAGTGTCTCCATCGTACAGATGTACAATGAATTTCTCATTTAATTTTCGAATATTAAAAAATTAATTTTTCAATTTTTTATTATATAAATTTTTTTAATATATATACTTTTTTATATTTTATTCTGTTAATTGATTCGTGTATTGCCTCCAACTTCACACAAGTGTGCAAAATTTCAGATCAATTAGACTGGTAAAAGTGTGTCAAATATCAGTTATAAGATTTGTAGCTGACAAAATTATTTTTTCAATTTTTTTAATATTGAAAATTTTTTTTATTTTTAAAATCATTTATTTTGTCATTTGATTCATGCATTGTCTCAAACTTTACACAAATGTGAAAAATTTCAGATCGACAGGATAAGTAGAAGTTTATTAAATTTTGATTACAAAATTTGTAGTAGACAAACAAACAACAAGAAGTGAAGTTAAAGAGAAGTGTTATAAAAAGAACCGATTTTAAAATGGTTGACCAATATAACACGAAGATTAATATATGTGAAATAATTCGAAAACAAAAGTTTTAGCTCCCTTGACATAGTTTCGGACGCAGGGCCGAAATTAGGAAAGGAGCAATAAACAATATCCCTACCGTCGTTCTCGGGAGCAACCTCATTGTACCGCTTATACATGAATTTATTTATTTGGGTAGACACCAGATTAGTCTGAAATCCATTAGGCGAAAAGTTATTGCGTAGAAATTCGAATTCAACGTGCAGAATTCGTATAACAAATACGAAATCCCGATGTAAAAGTGTTCGAATCCCATTAATCTTAAATCGAGACGAGCAAAAGCTAAAAAAGCTGGTACTGAGACCTGTGAAAGACGATTTTTGGAATACAGAAATTTGAAAACGGCCATTAGATTTAGTAATATCGCAATCGAGGAAGGACAGGCTATTGTTAGATTCCAGTTCCATAGTAAGTTTGATGGATTTATGCTGCGAATTTAGGTAATCGTAAAAGAGTTTAACGTGAGAAGGATGCTTAAAAAGTAAAAAAGTGTCAACGTTTCTGTTGTAGAATATTAGCTTAAAATCAAGAGGGCAATTGGACAGCCAGGAAACCTCGTGATGCACATAAAAATATTCGCAACTTTTCTTTTTGAAGTATTTCACAAATGCTAATCTTCGTGTTATATTGGTCAACCATTTCAAAATCAGTTCTTTTTTAGGTACAAAGATACTCTATACATATGCGAGCGTGCCTAGTTTATAAATATAATTGTGCACGATGTGCATCTGCGTACGTCGGGATGACGTCTCGAAATCTTTATTCTAGGGTAGCAGAACATAGGGGCAGCAGTTGTAGAACTGGTTACTTACTGTCGAGCCGGGCGAGCCCACCTCGTTCGGCTGTGCGGGCTCACGCCGAGCAGTGCGATGTTCCAATTTCCGACAGTGACTTCAAAGTTTTAGCTTCCAATTCCGGTGTTTCAGATTTGCGCATTTTAAAATCATTGTATATTTTTAAACAGAGGCCTAGTTTGAATTTAGCTTTCAGCTCTTACCCGCTTAAAATTGTAAATAGGTAGGTTTTACAGCTTAGGTTTTTGTTGTAATCTTGACTGTACTAATCACTGATTTATCTGTGTTCTAGAATTTTCGAACTGACGATGGAGCTGGATTCCGAAACGTTTTCTTTAAAGATACTATGGATTTTTGTGGAGTTTTCTTTGCTTCTAAGTTTCTAGTGATTTTGCTCATAAGAGTTGGAGAAAATAGCCAAATCTAAATATGCGCTTCGTGTATGGTTTAAACGGTTTCGGTATGGCTATTTCATCATTTATGATGCCAATTCGTAAAGTTCGTTAACTTTGATAACCTCTTTGAGCTGTATTTAACACGTTGCGAGGTTAGAAAATTCGATAGGTATTTCTAAGGAGGCTATTATTCTAGCATTAAAATTTTACTGGATTGATTTAAATCTGGTAGATTAAATTATTTTAAACCGCTTATTTAAATTATTTTTCATTCGTGCTCACTTACGATACATCTTATGAGAAAAGAGAGACATTAAATCTGGTATGGGCATAAGCATGGGTATGTGTATGGGAGGGCTTGGGTGTGGGTATGGAATAGGCATCGATACGTGTATGGTCATGGGTAGGGATATTAGCGGGCATGAGTATGGGTATGCTAAAATCTATATTGATGATTTTGAAAATTTTCCCAAAAGACGTAAAACAAAAATGTGCGATCGAATACTTTGATAGCACTACTTTTGTGCCTGACCCAAGGAACATAGATCCTCAGAAGAGAATTGTCTTCGTAACTTTTTGTACTTACGACAAAAAAGTTCTGTGGTACGTAAATACACCTTAATTTTGGCATTATCAAAACTTTCGTACGCAAGTCTTAGCTATAAGCCTAAATTTTTTCCCGCGCCAATTTTTCCCGCGCAAATGTTTTTATAAAACCACCGCTAGTATTACGTTGTCATAGCAACGCCACTCGTAAGTCGATTTTGCGTACTTACGAAGTTTTGATAATACGGCCCCAGGCAATAAGTCCAGCAGCAATCTCAATCAATCGTCAGCTATGGAAAGATCGGGTTCCAAAAGCCGGATCCCTTGTGAATCGAGTCACGAAAAGTTCAAGAATCGGCAACAGGCCATGAGCCTATTTCTTCAGCGCCGACACTTCTATTCTATTCTATTCTAAAATCTATATTGATGATTTTGAAAATTTGCCCAAAAGACGTAAAACAAAAATGTGCGATCGAATACTTTGATAGCACTACTTTTGTGCCTGACCCAAGGAACATAGATCCTCAGAAGAGAATTGTGTTTATTTTAGATGATATTGCTACGGTAAAAAATCAGAATCCTGCTGATAGGATTTACTCCCGTGAAACATTAATAACTGTATTTTAAGTTACTTTTCCCATCCCCATCATATATTACCATGACAAACAGTTAGTTTGTCATGGTAATGGTATGTCATGGTTAGTTACCTTTCATCGATAGGAAGAGTATTCACGGTGATTTCATTGCTTGTGATATGGCCTTTGCAGAGTGTCAAGAACTGGAATAATGTGTCTGAAGCACCCTTTAGCATTGCGTTGATTAATAAATGTGAGCACCCCGGTTCTGGAAAGTATTTCAAAAGTTTATATCAATTATATATTCCAAAGAAGTATTTCTCATCCTGACACTCGCTCTAAGCTAAGTTCCGGGTTGTTAGTAATGAACTGTTTCCAAACTTTACTAAAGCCCGTTGTTAAAAAATATTGTGAGTGCTCGATCAATTTGGGTAAAT